GATTCTCCAATTTGGGATCCCAGTTTGGGATGGGTGACTCTCCAATTTGGGATCCCAGTTTGGGATGGGTGACCCTCCAGTTTGGGATGGGTGACACTCCAATTTGAGATCCCAGTTTGGAATGGGTGACACTCCAATTTGGGATCCCAGTTTGGGATGGGTGACCCTCCAGTTTGGGATGGGTGACCCTCCAGTTTGGGATCCCAGTTTGGGATGGCTGATTCTCTGATTTGGGATCCCAGTTTGGGATGGGTGACCCTCCAGTTTGGGATCCCAATTTGGGATGGCTGATTCTCCAATTTGGGATCCCAGTTTGGGATGGGTGATTCTCCGATTTGGGATCCCAGTTTGGGATGGGTGACTCTCCAATTTGGGATCCCAGTTTGGGATGGCTGATTCTCCAGTTTGGGATCCCAGTTTGGGATGGGTGACTCTTCAATCTGGGACAATAAAGCATCACTTGAAGTTCTCAGAGCCTTTCCTGCCTCTTCATCCATCCCAGGGGTGGGAGGAGGGACAGCGGGGGGTGGGTGGGGTCATCTGCAGCTGTGGTTTTGTTGAGGACGGATGGTTTTGTTGGGAAAAATCCTCACGAAGCAAAATGTTCCCAGTGCCCGAAATCCCGTGGTTTGGGTTTGGGATTTCAGGATACGTCCATGATGATTTCCTGCTGTTCTGGGAGAGACGTGGAGTCCAGACAACTCCATGTCCCAACCCTGCAACATCCCAAACATCCCAAATCCCAAATCCTGGATCTCTGGCACTGGGAACTCTCTACTTGATGGTGATTTGGGAAGTTGGGGTATTGGGGTGTTGGGATATGGACCCCAGGGGGACAACACAGCTGCTCTGCCCACAGCAGCCACTCTCCTGCCCCAAAAGTGTGTTTCGAAAGAATTTTGCAACTCCAACCTCGGGCTGTCCCTGTGGGCACCTCCCAGCTGATGCTGAGCTGCTCCTGCTCCACTCCCTGGATCCCTGGCCGAGCCTGGGCCTTGGGGACAGCAGGATGTCACCCTGCAAGAGCCACCAAAAGGGTGCCAGCACCCATCCCTGTGACCCTCAGCACTGCCACTTGAACCCCATTCTAAAAACCCCAAAATTCCACTTTTCCGCCCTATGTTAATTCGACTCCCACACTACTCAAACCCTTGTGGCTTGTGATTCCTCACAGAGATTTGGCAGCTTTTTCCACAGGCTAAAATAGAAGCCACAGGTGATTTTGACTTCGTGCCAAGGTGTCTGAGTCCCCTGTGAGGTTCGGGGACAGCCAGGGCAGCCAGAGGGACGTGTGGGTGCCCACACCTGGGCACCACTGCCACCCACACCTGGGGGTCACCCCTGGCTCAGACCACCGTCCCACCTTGGAACCCCCTGTCCCCCACCCCCTGTGCCCCACCCTGGCACCTCCAGGGCGATCAAAGCCACCCAAGGAGGTTTCCTGAAATTGCACCAAAACCCCGCAACGCCGCGGCCGCTCCCGGGCACCGCGGAGGTTGTGAAACGCCCCCGAAATGCCCGGACGTCCTGTTCCGCAGCAGATCCTGCCCCTTGTGAAAGCAGAGCGCCCAGCAGCCGGGGCTGGGGGCCGGGGGTGCAGCCCCAGCATCCCGGGCTCCTTTCACCCGGGAAAGCCTCCGAGATCCAGTCCAGCCTGGGGTCTGCTCACCCAGGCCATGTCCGGTGTTGCCCTGATTTTTAAAAGCGTTAAGTTGTCTTTTATAGATCTTCTGAAAGTTTTAAAGTTCTTGTAAAACTTCTTTAACCTTCTGATCGTGTTTTCATATTTGAGAGTCAGAGTTCCCACACAGTTTCATGGATGAATAGAATAGTTTACATATTTCTCTGTAAATAGAAATGACTGATTGATTTTTGGACCAGTGTGGTTGCAGAGGTGGTAATTCCATCCTCCAATCCACGGCCACCTCTGGAATTCTATAAATACCAGATGTTCGAATAAAACTGGGCCTGTTTTTCTTTTGAACTTACCAAACTTCTGTGCACTCATTTTGTGTCCAATAGCGACAGCCCTTCCTTGGACACCTCCAGGGATGGGGACTCCAAACCTCCGTGGCCTGGTCGCCCTTTCCAGGAGGAAATTCCTGCTGGAATCCCTGCTCCTCGCTGCTGGTGCCCCGTGCCAGCTCCTCTGGAGCTCCTGAACTCGCCCCAGGCCTTGTTTTGGCTTCCACGCCCGAGCTGGGCAGGTTCAACCCTCAACAAAGCCCAGACGAGCTGCTGAGTCAGCAGGAGCTCATTTGGATGAGGGAACGCTGGAAAATCTCGTTTTGCTCCCAAACGGGGCAGCTGGGAGCCGCCAGGGCCAAAACAACAGCACCAAAACACACAAAGGCAGCCCAGAGCCCCGGAAAGCGAAATCCGAGCGCGCCTTCCCACCACGCCTGGGCTCTGCGGCTCAGGGCGCACCCGGGGCGGGAGAACCCAACTTGGCACAGGTGGGACGGAGCTCCTGGAGCCGTGCCAGGCCGGGAACACGCCCGGATCATCTCTCAGGCTTCCTGCAGGCAGGGCACGGCCCCGGTGCCACCGGCGCCCCGGTGTCACGCAGGCAGCGGGTGGCACTCGGGGTCCTGCTGCGGGCTCGGTGATTTTGGAGGTTTGTGCCAAGCTCAGGGATGCACCGGGGTGGGGACATTTTGGGACCGTGGGTGCCTTTCACCTCCTGGCATCGGAAAAGAGCCACGGAAAGGAGGAAAATGTGGAAAAATCCCACAGGAAATGTTGTTTTGCCCAGAGCTGGTGGAGAATCCCAGCAGGTGAGGGGACAGGGCCACCCCCGAGGCCACCTGAGCCCGTGACACCCCGAGCTTGCGGGAAAAGCCACAGAGCCTCTTTTGGGGAACTTCCCGGAGCCTTGAGCAATGCCGGGGGCGTTGTGGGGCCAGCCTGGAGCGGGATGGGGACGTTTCACAACGGGCCTGGCTATAAGAGACCCCGGGGTGGCACCTGGCCCCGCGCCTGCCCCAGGGGACCTCGCTGCGGTGGCAAGATGAGCAAGGCAAGTGCAGGGGGCATTTGGGGTGTCCGTGCTCTTTTCCAGGTCATCTGAGGGGTGAGGATCCTCAGGAGGCTTCTCTTGGTCCCAACCCCACGTCCTGGCAGGGCAGAACCATCCCCAGCGTCCGTGAGGAGCGAGGTTCCTCCTGCAAGAGCTTCCCGACCACCAGAGAGGCTCCTGGACGTCAGATCTCCTGCTCTGTGTCCCCACTGATGGTTTCTGGGTGTTCTCACCTGCTCTGTGTCCCCACTGAGGGTTTTTGGGGTGTTCTCACCTGCTC